CTCTGCCATTGAACTTCCATGGGCTGCCGGGGACCTCATTGACCTTCTCCTACTGCACACGTGTGGAACTGGGTGTCTCAGGTTCTCTGTCCTCCTCCTCCAGACAACAATGCTTTCCTCTTTCTTTAGGTCAATGTTCATCTTTTGTTCAAGTCAACGTTCTGTCCTCCTGGTCCTCTCTTCTTTCTTCTTTCCAAACCAGTTCTTCCCCTCATAAATATTGATTCAAAGAGGTGTTTCCCCATCACTTATGGCTCAGTTTGGTCTGGAGGTGGGTCCACCTTGGATCCAGGGGACCTTCACAAAGCTTCTCACAGGAGCCATCACTATAACCCCTTCTCCCTACCAAAACCAGCCCCTCCACACAAACCCAACAGAGATGTTTAGAAGGAACCAGGTCCTTCAGAGTCAGATTGATCCCTCAAGATGCTTTTCTAGTATTTTGACATGAAATTTTACATTTTTACACGATTATATATTCCCTTCAGGAGGTTCCTCAAGTCTCGGGCAATAAAGCAGAGTCAAGGAGCAGCGGTTGGAGCTGCAACCCCGTTGCGATGACCATGAAGGAAACTGAAGAGCAGCTGCTGCTGGTGAGCAGGGAAAACCAAGTGCTGAAGATCAAGGTGAGTTCTGGGTTGGTTTTTATTTAAAGTTTCAGATGAATATATGTGCTTTGCAGCCCAGTTCAAGTAGGGTTCCAGTTGCTCCATCCCAGTGTCTGTTCAGTAGGGGTCTTTCCTTCAGGGAAGGGACAGACTCTGCTTTGCTTTCCCAGCTGCTAAAAACTCTGGAATTCCAGCAGGCAACAAAATTTCTGTCAAAATCTGCTTTTGGGGACATCTTTGTCACTGGAGGATGGCTCAGTACTGAATAAATCTGCATCTAGCTGGGAACTCAAATTTAGTGGGGAACTTCTAGTGGAAGGTGTCCCTGCTGCTGGCAGGGGGGTTGGAACTGGATGAGCTTTAAGGTCCCTTCCATCAACCCAATGCCACCATGACCACTAAACCATGTCCTGAAGTGCCATGTCTACATGTTTTTTGAACACCTCCAGGAGTGATGACTCCACCACGGCCCTGGGCAGCATCTTCCAATGCTTGACCACTCTTCCAGTGAAGAAACTCTTCCTAATATCCAACCTAAACCTCCCCTTGTGCAACTTGAGGTCCTTCTGATAACATACTCTTATTTTTTCTAGCTGGAAGCCACGAGAGAAGCAGGGGTACAAGCTCTCAGATCTGCCTCCCAGAAACTGTATCACAATTACCAGACTCGGTCAGAAGAACTGAAAAGAAGCCATGAGAATGAGAAGAAGCAAATACAGGTGGAAATCTCCCTGACGTGTGGCCATGACCATCCTGTTCCGTATCGAAATGTTCACGTGAGCTCTGGCTCCTTGTGTTGAGAACTTTGACTTAGGAGCTACTGAGCGTCCTCTGCGAGCGCAGTGGGGGAGTTACATGGGAAAATTAACAAGTATTTTGGTTTTGTTCCTGATTTGTGGAATTGGGTTGGTAAAGTTGGCTCAGAATTCCTGGAGCCACTACGATAGCTCCATCTCTATCCATCTGCTGCGTTCATGGAATGGCCTGGATTGGAGAAGATCTTTAAGATAATGGAGTCCAACCATGAACCCAACACTGACCAGTCCCCGACTGACCCATGTCCCTCAGCACTATGTCTACACGACTCTTCAATCCCTCCAGGGATGGGGACTCCACCACTGCCCTGGGCAACCCCTTCCAATGCCTCAGAACCCTTGCAGCAAAGAAATTCTTCCTCACATCCCATCTCAACTGCCCTGGCCACAACTGGAGCCCATTTCCTCTTGTCCTGGCCCTTGGGCCTTGGTTGAACAGACCCACCCCCACCTCTCTCCACCCTCCTCCAAGGGACTTGCACAGAGCCACAAGGTCTCCCTTCAGCCTCCTTTTCTCCAGGCTCAACCCCCCCAGTTCCCTCAGCCACAAGGGAACTCAGCACACTTGTGCTCCAGACCCTTCCCCAGCTCCGTTCCCTTCTCTGGACACACTCCAGCACCTCCATGTCCTTCTTGGAGTGAGGTTCACCAGCTCCCAGTATGTCTAGACTAACACCCTTCTTGTTCCCAGGCCTACAATCTCCAACAAGAAGAGAAGCTCCAGGAAAGTGAAGAGAACACCAACCACCTCGCTGAGGGCATCAGGGAAAAATGCAGCCGCATCGCAGAGATGGAGAAGCGCGTGCAACGGATGGAGGAGGTACGTCCACCTGCTTCTCCTGTCCATCTGTCCTGGCACCAGGAGTCGATGCTGGTGGGGAATCCCAGACTGGTTTGGGTTGCTCAAAGCCTCATCCAACCTGGCCTTCAACACTTCCAGGGAGGAGCAGCCACAGCTTCCTGGGATTTCCCAGTAATTCCTGTAGCAATCTGACCACCACTTACACAAAAACTTGCAGAATATTCATTTTCCTTGATTACAAATATTCTTGGGTGGTTTTCTTTGAGCTGGAAGAAGCAATGGCTCCATGCATGGTATTTATGGTTGGATTAGATGATCACGATGGTCTTCTCCAACCAAACATTTTCTGCTGTACACACCCCAAACCGGTGGGAATTACTCTTAAAATTCCATTTGAAGTTAAGGTTTTTTTCCCCATCCTGGGATTACTGTAAAGACAAAGTCAATGAGTTGATTTCCACCCCACCACATCCAGCTCATCTTTCTGATACTAAGACTTTTGTCATCAGTTTTGTTCAGATTTTTTTCCCCTCTGTGGACAAGTTTTTGGGTCTCCAAGCATGAACTTTCACAAGACCTAAAGATTTTGCTAATTAATTAGAGGGAAAACTTATTTTAAGAGACTTTGTGGACTTTTCTGATGGTAAATCGGTACTATCACCCCTTCTGGATTCAGTTCAGAGAGGTCAGACTGGTTTGTATCTCCAGCTGATGGTGACATTGGTCGATGTGGGTGGTTTGGGCTGAATTCTGCCTGTTTTCAGACACTGAGTGGAACCATTGAAGGTAGAACCAATTTCCTCTTGCTCATCGAATGGCAGGAAGCTTCATATCATTTTTCTATAACTTGAATTCTTTCCTTAGGAAAAGAAAAAGCTGCTAGAGAAGAAGATGTCATTTGAGAAGCTGCTTCAAGAGATGATGTCAAGGAACGAAGACAGCAAACGGTGATGAAATGCGTGTGATGAAGTGTTTTCCTTTCATTCTGGGGGATTATTTCACGTAGGGTACCAGACAATCAACTTCCTTCTGGTAATAAAATGATTGATGATGACAGCAACTGGTTCAAAACCTGATTTATCCTCATTGCTTGAAGAAGCCAAGACAGATGTTGATGTCCTCCAGTTCATTGATGTCCTCCAGCTCTTCGATGTTGCTTCTACTTGAATTCCCAGTACTTCTCCTCCCACCTCGCGTGCACAGATTGCTTCTCTCCTGATTTTCACGTGGGGTTGATGCTGATTTGGTGACCTTCTGCCTGCAAACAGAAGTTACTTTATTATTTATTGATGAATTTACTTCTCAACAGCTAGTAAGGGTGGTCCCACCAGGGAAAAGATCTCTCAAACAATGGTTTTATTGGTTCTGCTTGATAAAGAAGGCTTTATACTTGTGGTTCTCCATGAATTACAGCTGTGTATCCTCAGGAACATCCTTGCTAGCGACAAGCTGAGGTGGGAAAGTGTCCAGGTGGGTCAGTGATCCATGGGGATTGAATTTGGGATGCTGTGCTGCTCTCACCCATAGGTGCCTGGATCTCCAGAGGCAGATTTTCACCCTCCAGGAGCAGATCTCTCACCTGCAACGCTTGATCCAGACGCAACACCATGGCCTACGCGATGTGATACAGGAGGTCAGGGCAGGTCTTTGGTGGTTGGGAAAAGCAACTGGAGAAACTGGGATGAGGGCTCTTGCCTTCAGTGGATGTGCTGGGGGTGAGCACTGGCTCGGTTTTGTGCGCTCTGTGTTCGACATCCAGATGTGTTTCAACGTTAGGATGGGAAGAGCACCCCAAAAATGGGGTTGCTGTGGTGAAGTCAGGGATTTATCCAGCTCATAAACCTGATACTTGAATAGAGAAGTCATTGGGCATCTAGAAAAGGTTGGGTTCACCAAGAGTGGATCCTGTCTGTATGACACTGCTGATGGCTTGGCAGCTACTCCAAATTAATATCATAGAATCACAGGCTGGTTTGGGTTGGAAGGGACCTTTCATGGTCATCTAGTCCAACCCCCCTGCAGTGACAGGGACATCTGCAACCAGATCAGGTTGCTCAGAGCCCCGTCCAACCTGACCTGGAATGTTTCCAGGGATGGGGCTTCTACCACCTCTCTGGGCAACCTGGGCCAGTGTCTCAGCACCCTCATGGGAAAAAATGTCTTTTTTTTGGATCTGCTGGAGATATTTTTTTGAGGATGAGGAGGGAAAGGCTCAAACCTCTCCTGAAAGCCTGGCTGCAGCAAATCATAGGATCTTTTGGTTGGGAAAGACCTTTGAGATCATCAAGTCCAACCTGTCCACTGCTAAACCAGATCTCTGAGCACCTCATCTACCCAGCTTTTAAATCCCTCCAGGGATGGGGACTCCACCACTGCCCTGGGTAACCCCTTCCAATGCCTCAGAACCCTTTCAGTGAAGATATTTTTCCTGATATTCCACCTGAACCTCCTCTGGTTCTTCAACTGAAGACCTGAAGCCCCTCATTCCCACTCCCAGATAACCTGTTTCTGTTGCTGGACATCTTCTTCTTCTCTTTTTCTTTCCCTTTTCTTTTCTTTCACCTTGAAACACCAATTTTGTGTTAGAACACTAAGGCAGCAGCCCACAGCCAACGTCGCTGATGTAAACTGGTTTGTGACGAACCAGGGCTTTTGGTTTTAAATGGAAATTAATAAATTGAGGATTATAAAATATGATAAAAATGATGATTTCTTTTTTAGCTTCTTCCATTTTCCATTGTTCCTGCAAGGAACTTTAATACAGATTAATTCCCAGCGCTGCCACGCAGAAGGAAAGTCAATCAGGGCAGCAGATAAAGATGTTCCCATGAATATTTCCAGAATTATTATTAATTTTCATTGCCATCAATCAATCAATCAATTAATTTGAGTTTTGCTGCAGGAAAAGACGAGGGATTTGAGTGGTTGGTGATTCCCCTGGTGTGGAAAGACAATTAATTCAGTGGGTTTTATTTGACAGAGAGAGATAATTTTTGCTTTGATGTATTAAAACTTCTTTCTTTCTGAACTTTCAGGCAGAGGAATTGAACGAGGAACTCAGGAGCCAAGAGAAAAAAATCGAGAGCCTGACAGAGAAGCTGACTACGCTGGAGGCACAGGTAAGGTCAGAAAGGACATAGAACTATCCATGGGAGACACCAAAAGTTCTCTACAATCAGGGGAACCTTCATGCTGCTGGGCTTGTGTCAGAATGACCCTGTCCAGGTGGTATTCTTTTAAACTACATCTTTCATTTAGTTAAAAAAACCCCCAAAACAAATCAAAAGAAACAAAAAAACCACAAAAAATTCCCTCAAAACCTTCTTGGAGGAGCAGCAGGTCCTAGTTGGCCATCCAGGCTTGGCTCTTGGCTGCAATGTTCTGCTCCAAGGGGTTTATTTTATTTTAGATTTTTTATTTTAGATTTCTTATTTTAGATTTCTTA